GTAATATATCACAACGTTGGCTAGTAACAAACTATCTGTTGTCAGTTTTAAGAATGCTCAGATAACGAGTCATCTGAGCCTGCTCGGAAGCAAACTCCGGGCAAAACATCGCCCTGTCAGTGAACATATGGGTGATCTCCGTCACCGACTCCGTACCCTGTCTCAACTCCAAAAACTCCTGTGCCAGACTCTCCCACTCAACTCACAGAATGTTGCGAGTGCGGAACATCTCCCTGAACTGATCCCAAGTAACCGCAGCTCTTTGCTCATCAGAATACGACCCTGTCATCAATCTCCACCAGTCCTTTGCTCCAGAGCTCAGCCGGTTCAGAGCACACCTGACCTTCTGGTCAGTAGGACATGAGCATGTGAAAAAGCATCCCTCAACGTCAGATATCCACCTCATGGCTATGATCGGGTCCTAAATCCCATCGAAAGTTGGGGGCTTCGTGTTATCGAAGTACCGATACTGAAAAGTCCGACTTGTCCCTATACCTGCAGCTGCTACGGTTGCGGAGGCTGTAACGACAGCCATCTTAGCAATGGCTGCGTAGCGCTCATCAAAGTACTCAACCATAGCGGTCTTAATAGACCTAAAAATCTCCGGCAGCTGTGCCCGGAATAGTGCAGCAACCTCATCGTACATGATCTTCCAAAACCTCCGGTTTCATTTGACCAGTGGTCCCTGTCACTGCTGCTAGCCCGCCATGACTGCCAGCTCCTGATCCTGATCTGGATCCGGTCTCAAATCGCCTCATAGTCACCATTCTGAAAATACACCAGAAAGATATCAGATACTCCATATAATAACGGGGAACCAACTCCCAACTAAACCCTAGGGGTTGTGACTTCCTTGCTACGCGTATGGGTCCTGTGCAGTAAGTAGTACGAGCCCATACTACCTTCCACACCTACCCATATTTGTCTCAAGGATCACCACAACACCCTAACAGTGTTCATAAGGATAGGAGAGCGCTCAATCCTCACTCCTAGAGGAAAGCTAAATATCCCACAACTGGCCGAATGACCCCTCACAACTCATCCATGAAACTTCCACCAACCCTGCAGCATTCGTGTATGCTAGCCATACATAACGCTGGACCCTATAGGCATTTGAATATCTCATCCTACCCTAAGCCCTTCATCAAACAAGAACATGAAATAAGGCCAAACCAAACATTCTCAGGCTATAAGATCTTAGTTATATACGACCATGATGCATACACTAAGCAGCTATAGTAATGATATCAATTCCATATAAAGAAAACCCTAGGCAATCAGGTATCATATAATCAGACAATTCTATCATGCAATTCCTGAAGATCCGTAGCCTATCTCTAGCATGTTGTTCTAACATATCGCAATATCAAATAACCGTATGGTATTTTTGGGTATACTTACTGGCTCCGACTGATCGTACACTCTGCATCCTCCTTTAGTATTTTGGAAACCATTTGAAAATCATTTTGAAAATCATTTCCTTAGTTTGAGAATGGATTCACACGAGTGTTCATCCAATTCATTCAAACCAAGGCTCTGATACCAACTAGTAACATCCATAAAATTCATAAAAATTTAAAACTTTTTCAAGCCTCCAAAAACCATTACTTATTACAAAATGTTTTCAAAATAGTTTCATGTAAGAGTATCCCAGAAATCAAAATCATAAAATGTGAGGAGGTGCACAATCAAGCCTTCGCCTTCCCAGCATCATCCGAAGTACCTGAAACAAAATCCAAAACTGTAAGCCCGAAGCATAGTGAGTTCCCCCCAAAATACCAACACCATACAAACCAGAAACATATCATAACAAACAGCATGCATATAGAGTCTTCGGTATGACTAGACCGCGCTCGTCAGGCCTTCAGTCTATCTGGCCCACTCTCAGAACTTTCAGCATGTCTGGTCCGCCCTACCGGGCCTTCAGCCTGATTGGACTGTTCTTGGGCCCTTCGACCTGACTGGTATGCCCTGATGGGCCTTCACTCTATCCGGAACACCCTGGGTCTGTTGGCCTAGAGCACAAAGTAGGACCGCCTCAACCCACCTGCAATCACACAATCAACACATAAATATCATACGCTAGCTAGCATGTACAAACAGTCAGACTGATCTAACATATCACTAATCATAGCATCATCCTTTATATACCGACCTAACAGGTCACTAAACGTAGCATCATCCTATATACCAGGATACAGATCTAACAGATCACTAAACATATCATCATACGATAACAAGGATAACAATCCAAAAAGGGTCGGCATTGGTGCCTTCGACCCTGTTGGCATAGTAAGGAAAACTCACCTCACAAGTAGTGCTAAACCGATAAATCGAATCCCAACTCACAGCTCCAAACTCAACTGCCTGCAACCACTATATGACTAATTCCATTAAAATCCCAAATTACCAAAATACCCTTAAAAGTCAAACTTGGTCAACCCTGGTCAAAGTCAAAGTCTACAGTCAAGGTCAACAGTCCAGGTTGACCCAACTCATCGAGTGCATCTACTGACTTGTCGAGTTTTTTCATATCTCAAAAGATCATAAAAAGCTCGAGGCAACTCGCTGAGTTACAAACGCAACTCGTCGAGTTCTTCGGTGTTCAGAAAAACGGAAAACTCAACCAACTCGTCGAGTTATCTCATCAACTCGCCGAGTTCACTCAACATCCAGAAAGCGGGAAAACCCTATCGACTCGTCGAGTTGGCTAAGAAACTCGTCGAGTTTTCCTGTCTTAACATACTCAGCCCCTTCCAGTCGAATTCAAGGCCCCAAACTACAGATCTAGCCTCTTAGGACTGAGATACCACGTAAAGCTGCTAACTTTACATGAATGCAAGGCATCAAAGGGATTAAAACACTAAAAATAAGCTTGATAAGAGGTTTAGGGCATGGAAGAGGGCCAAGACTAGATAAAGTGGGTAACTTTATGTTCATGGGGGCCTAGAGGTGTCCAGATCTGAAACCAAATCCTCTTAACAAGCTCAAATCCGAGAATGGCTCCATTTTGCACCAAAAATGACCATATACTTTCATAAGAGGAGATCTAAGCAATAAGAGGTCAAGGTATCAACTTTATACCTCAAGATGGTTTCCAAAAGAGAGTAGATGTCGGATCTATAGCCTCCTCCCCACTCAAATCTCTTCAATCTTCGAGTTTCCTTCCAAAAGAGCACCAAAAGTCACCTTCCAAGCTTTCACACATACAATGAGATATGATGCACAAAATAGGGTTTCTATGGGCAATAAGGTGGTAAGTGAGGCTAGTGAGGGGACTTACGGTCCTTTAAATAGGGTGCAAACCCTAAAAATTAGGGTTTTCATGATCTGGTGCCAACTCGCCGAGTTGGGTCTTCCAACTCATCGAGTAGGCTTTGAAAATTACGCGGCCATCTTGGTCTCTACACGACGAGTTGGGTTGTCCAACTCGTCAAGTAGGTCTTATGAAATGCATAAAAACCCTTAAATTTCATACATGGGAGTCGGGATGTTACACATTTCATACCTTCCACTCATTTAGTTTGCTCCTGCTGCATGGTAATTAAATCCCTTTATATCATTCATTTCATAACTTCCAATCCTTTAGTTTGTACAATTTCAAATACTCTAAACGGATTATGAATATATGGCAGGGGTTATAGGATAATATGGATTGGGGATGAACTAAAGCAGACACTATACCCTAGAAATGAATCCAAGTTGTCTGATCATCGGTCAGTGAAGGCAATATTTTGTATCGGAGTTAAAGTCTCAAGATAGAATATCAAAACCTTTGCATTTCAGATAGATTTCCAGAACTACATTTGTTCCAATATTACTAAAGAATGCAAGAACAGGAGGTCTACCCACAATTCTTGAAGAATCTGAAACTCCAAGAATGAAAGAAGATTTAAAACCTTTAAAAATGAATGAGAAACTTGAGTATAGAGATTTAATGGCGGAAATTCACAAGTTCTACAAAATCTACAATGAAAAAAATACGAAATTAGATGTCTTAAATTACCAAACATTCCAAGCAATAAGTAAGTTCTTTAATCATTTTCAATAACTTTCAAAAAATGTGATTCAACACATGTGGGGTTTACTTAAGAAACTAAACGCATACGACCACAAATGAGAACTCATATTTAATCAGTTATCAAATAATTACATTAGATACTAATGTGTACATAAACATCACATTTACAATTTTAAACTAATAATAATTTTGCATTATTTATTAGTATAAATTATTTGTAAATCAAAAAATATACATACTATTTAATCGCATACAACATTTATGTACAACCTATTTAGAATAGATTAAACCATGTCAATTATAATGTAATAATTTTGTTAATTGTATTATGCTAGCATCTTTTTTTTTTAATCATAACTTCTCAATTAACCATATGCTTAAAAACAATGTTAACTATTTATTTTACCATAATATATATAACCATATTAAACTACATGATTATTCCACTGTACAGCGCGCAGACATTCGCCTAGTTATATATAATTAACTAGCGTGCATTTATGTCGTCTATAAACATGAACTAGTGGGGATGCCTACGCGTTGCATTGAGTTTATTAATCCGACAATCTTAACATCATTTATGTAATGCCCTCTTATATAGAGACCATTTTTGTAATTTCACTATCACACCATACCGTTATTATAATATTTTTATATATGGAGCTTTTCTATAAACTCGTCATTATATAGGAACCATTTACGTAATATGGCTTATACATAGGGACTATTCATGTATAGATAATACAAATTAAAAACAACAGGGATCAAAACTGTAAATATATTAAATTAAAAACTATTTAAATTGCTGAAAATATAAAAAGTGTAAGGACCAAAATTATAATTATCGTATTTCCAAAACAGGGAACAAAAATGTAAATATGATAAATTACAAATTATAAGGACTAAAATTGTTATCAATGAAAATCAAAATTTATAGGGAGCAAACTGCAATTATGTGATTTCCTGACGATTAGAAGGTATGCATAATAATTATTTCCGCATTGCGTATTTGTTGAAACCTAAACTGCCGCTCCCTTTCTCTAATTTCTCTCTGCCTCTCTCTGCACTAATACAATGGAGTTTTGGGGTAACGAATATCTTTCTTTAATTTGTTGTTTATGTTTCATGTGGTATGTTATTTTGATTTTTTTTGTCTGTGATGGAAAGTAACTGGAAGGCAGCTGTCTGCATCTACTTGTGTCTGGGGAGGTTGTTTTGGTAGGTGTTTGATCCTGTGTTGGTTTGATCCCAATTTGTTTTGGAAAGAGGATTAGAAAGTGTTGATCTAGATTTAAAGTTGTGTTATTTCTTTTCCATGTTGGTAAGGAAGACTGTTAGGACTTTGTTTTTAGGTATGTGGTAAATGTATATGAATTGGATGTTTTTCTGTTTGTGGATTTATGTATCTGCCTCCTGCGTCTGCATGAAACTAAAGCCTGCCTTGTTTGAAATCGGATTTATAAGATTGCATTCGGGAGTGGTACTCTTTACAGCAATATGATGAAAGATTTGTTTTTTTTTTTACCTTCTTTTGGTTTTGATGATGATGCAAATCTTCGCTTTGTTTTACCTTGATTATATTCATTGTTTTTTTTGTGGTTTAGTTCACAAGCTTTGTTTGTTTATGTTTCATGAGGAGATATATTTGGTTGTTTTTATATTAATTGTATTTAACACTAGTTTTCTGTTTTGTTGATGTTATGATGTTTGTTTTTATTTTCTTTCATTTTATTTTTTTGCAAACTCATATTGTTTTGATTCAGCTGTGGAGGTTAAAAGCGGTGATGTGACTGATGTAAAAATTGGTGAAAGGAAGTCTTTGCATCTTGCTCAGGCTTGTCTTGGAGCAATTGATGGGGAAGCAGATGAACCTATTCATTTGCACGTCATCGTCAATGGAGAAAGATTTGCACTTGCAACTCTTTATCCTAAGTCTCTGCCAACCCAAGAATTTAACTTGGTGTTTGTCGAAAACTTTAAATTATCTCACGACATGAGAAACGGAAGTGTTCACTTCTTCGGCACCCAAAATAGACAATGTGAGCTTGAATATCCTTTTCTAAAAAGTACACACTGTTTTACTAACTTAGAATATTGATATTTGGTGTGTTCAGGGACCAAAAGTATTAAAGATTCTGATGATAAAGAGGAAGAGTGAGGTTTTGGTGATAGATTCTGGTGAAGATGGTGATAGAGGGGAAGTGACGGTGAGGTTTTGGTTGTTCATAATGAGAGAAAAAATTAATATCGGAATAACTAGTATGTTGCCATTTATTTTTGTATGCCCTTGTGGTGGGGTTTATAGTACTTAGTATTATGCATATAACTCATGTTCTCATGTTGTCATTATATGATTCAGTTTGTCGTGGACATGTAGTTTAGACTTGTGTCTGTAGTATTGAGCGATTTGCATCCTAAATTGACGAGTTGGACTCGAAAATCCATTGTGATGGACTATCGATGAGTTTGTTGTGGTTGATGTGTTGGAGTCATATTTGTAGGTTTCGAAATCGGGTTTTTAGATGTCGAAAAGATATATAAGTTGGTCTCAAATAGAAGAATCCATGGTGTCATATTGAAAAACGGAAATATGTGTAGCCAAAATATCTGCTTGTTGTACCCACCACATGGAAAGAAAAAATAGGTTATATAACTCAGAAGTAATTGGATCATGGTTACTGAAATTTGTAAGTTTTCTTTTAGCTGACAAGGTTTATGATGATTCATGAGGTGGTGTTTTTTGATAATGGGTTGAATCGGTTTGGTTGTGTAGTGTGAATCAGTGGTTGTCGAGACCTTCAAATGAAAAACCTTAAATATGATGCAATAAAAAACGAATTGCAGTGGAGGTATTAGGGATTGAATCCACATGGATCGGTTTGAATATTTTATACAAAACAAAATATAAAATGAAATGGGGCTTTCTTATAATGTTTAAATGCGATAAAAACTAATTTACAAAATAGAAATTAAACTCCCTCCTACCTTTTGTGCCTACATAAGTTCCTACCCACTAATAGCAAAGACATTTGTCACTATTTTTCCATGTCATTCAATTTAATTTCATATCCAAAAGCTATTCTTAATGAGTTAATTAATAAATAAAAAAAAAACATCACGACAACTTCATCCACATTACGTCTCCAATCGACCAACCTTTCTTCGGTTCTTCTCGTCTACTTCAATTGATCCGGCTATTGCAATCCACATCTTCAATCTCCACCGCCAATCGTGTGACATCCCCATTTTTTATGGCCAGAAAAGACTGATTTTGTTTATGCTTTGTTTGCAAATCAGAGTAACATTTTAAATAAAACTGTTGCGAAATTTGTTCCCAAAATAAAATATGATAAAGATTTATCAAAGCATTTCCAAAGAAATGTATTTCATTAAAAACCTCGGGATGTCATGTTCGATACAGATCAAAAGTATAAACAGTACAATATAAGCCTTACTACATTTATTCATATCTACAGGCCTATATCCATAATCTTTCATCCTAAACATCATATCTATGCTCGTACGCCACTACCTGTAATACAAGAAACAGAGTGTGTCAGACTTGAGAGTCTGGTGAGTACATACGGTTTTCAACCCACAATAAATAAGTTTATTATTTTCATCAACCAAACAAACCCGCTTACCCGTTCCCGTTATCCTCACTTTCCGTCCCTAAAACATCTAACACAAGGGACCTAGCCTAAGGATTTTCATTGGGGCGACAATACATGCTTTGGGGGTTCCTCAACAATTCATGTCAAATAAGGCAACCATGTGGGGGATGAAGTACTGCTGGTGAGCACACAGTTCAAATAAACACCTACAGGTTGCGAGTCTGCTAGCATTCCACTGGACTGTCTAGAATAGTCCGTGGTCGTCATCTATACTCCGCTAGATGACTGGATCATCAATAACATCGAGGCCTCTCCTTATTTTATTCTTATCACACAACAACTATTACATCTACCCATGTTTTACCCAACTCATTTTGTTGATACAATATACATATACAGTTTAAATTATTTAAAACATGTATAACATCGTTCATCCAACATAGATAGCAAGTATACAGATAATATGCACACATAGCACGTAATTTATATAAAATACTGTATATCTATGTGTAAGATGAAAGTAACTATGCACTCACCTGGTAAGCTGGTGATTCCGAACTCAGACAGCGCTTCGTTACTCTTAAAACAATTTCCTTCGACAAAACCTAGTATCATTACCACTAGGGTTTAGTCTAATATTCACCGAGACTAATTAATAGTCTAGCTATTATTACTATTAGATAAGCGTTAAACAATACTCTTCACCCACTATTTACAGACAGGGGCCAGACATAAAACACCGGAGGGCAGGACCAATTTGGCATATAGCACTTCTGAAATCCAACAACCCTATGCAACCCTTTAAACCAGATTCCCCGTACTGCGAGTGGTTAAAAAGATATTATAATGATACTTATATAACTCATAATAATAGCTCAAATAATTATTATAAGGTCCTAATAACATTAATATTTTTAAATAAAAGCTATATTAGAAATAGTGTAGGCGTAGCTCACTTACAGTGGGTTTTTATTAAAAAAAATCGGGCTTCGCTGGAGCAGCGTTTCCGAGCTGAAAGCTTTTCTTCTCGGATTCGTCGGGCGCTCCGGGGCTTCCTTCTCGTGCTAAGGAGGTTCCCTAGACTTGGGAGGGGTTTAGGGAGGCTAGAGAGAAGTTAGAGAGAGAAAGAAAGGCTTATGGTGTGAAGAAATTATGAAGAGTTCATCTCTTATTTATAAGAGTTTTATTGTAGAGTAGTCCCTAAGTTTCGTCCGTATCTTCCGAGTACGAGCTCCGTTTTCCACGTTCTTTATATCCACACGTTGATATTTACGAGTACTACAACTTTCATTTAGAACCCATGAAACATCCCAGAAATATAACCCAAAAATTTCGTTTTTAAAACATTAATAAAACCATCAACCATCCAACATCATAAGTAAGATCATAATCATGTATCATGAAACATCATAGTATATGTCTCAAATCGAAATCTCATATCAAATCATCAGAGTGAACTCCCAGGCTGTGACTGTGGTGTGTGCCATCCGATCAACCCGAGCCCTTCCCTTTGCTAGTGGATGTACCTGAAACCAAAACTGAAAACTGTAAGCATAAAGCTTAGTGAGCTCCCCCAAACTACCACATACCATACAATAAAACAAATAACACATACTAGGCCTTGCCCACTGCATTGGGTCCCGCCCGGCATCGGACCGAAGTCTGGAATAACTTGGGCCCCGCCCGACATCAAACTGAAGTCCGGAATAACTGAACATAACATAACATGAACATATAGCATAATCACATACTGCATCGGGCTTGCCCGGCATCGGACCGAAGTCCGGATCATATAACACATATTACAAACATGCATGAATCACGAAGACATCAAGCATACCTACTACTGTATCGGGCCCCGCCCGGCATCGGACCGAAGTCCAGAACTACTATCATCTAAACGGGCCGGCATTGTGGCCGCAGACCCGTTCCTACTGGAAGGAAACTCACCTCGTAAGGCTGACTGCTGGAATGCTGAGCGGGAAATGTCTGACTGCTGCTCCGGTAACTCCCCGACTACAATTCCCATAAAGACACTTAATCAAACACTGATACTAATCTTAGGGTAAAGTGACTATTTTACCCATGGCCAAAGTCCTCATCCTGGTCAAAGTCAACTGCCAGTTGACCTGACTCGCCGAGTTGGGCCGCCAACTCGCCGAGTCCCTATCCTTTCTTCTATTCCCCAACCCGACTCTACTCGTTGAGTTTAGAAAACAATCGACGAGTTCTCCTTCCATAATAACATCGAGTCATCCTTCATCTGACTCGCCGAGTTGTATGAACAACTCGTCGAGTCCTCCTTCATCACATGAACACGTCCAGTCTACGACTCGCCGAGTTTTATAAACAACTCGTCGAGTCTGATCTTGTGGGTAAGAAGATTGCCTTGGACTAGCCGAGTGTGTTCTTACACTCGTCGAGTCCCATGATTTCCAGATTATGGCTATCACTTAATACGTCGAAACACTCCTTGGGACCTTTCTAAACCTCTGCTAACACTCAACTCGGCTCCTTTGAACCACAATAGATTTGGGGACTCAAGTCCCGAACTCACCGAGTTGCAAGAACAACTTGTCGAGTCGCCCATTGTCCAAGTCTATAACTCGATTTCTGATGTACAACTCTCATCCAAAAGGTAGATCTGGGCTTCTAAGGTCGATCTAACACGTAAGTTATGAACTTTACGTGCATGCATGGAAGTATAAGCTTTAAGGACCCAAAAAGAGGTCCAAAGAGGTGTATGGGCTAATATGGTCATAAGGCTTGCATCTTTATGCCATGAACTCAGTTCTAGAGTCTAGATCTGAAGGTGAATCGACTTGGGACGTCCAAATCTTAAGGATCAAGCTTATTGACCCCCAAAACTCCATAAAGGGGCAAAGGAGAAAATCTATAAAACCACAAGTCAAGTTTTAAGCTTGTTTACCTGAGAGTGAAAAGAAACTGATGTTGCTTCTTGATCTAGTCCTTCTCCCTTGATCCTTCTTCCTTCCAACTCTTCTACTAGATACACAATGCACCAAAAACCCTCCAAGTCACTAAGAAAGCTCAAGTTTGCCAAAAGAGAATTAGGGTTTCAAAAGTAATGCTCTAGAGGTGATGGAGGTTGGACCTGAAGCTCATAATGTTGTTTAAATAGGGTGCAAACCCCTATAATTAGGGTTTCATCTAGACTGGCCTACTCATCCAGTCCAAGAGCGGACTCGGCGAGTGGATTACTTAAACCCGCGTCCCAACCTCGCATCTACTCGACGAGTTAGGGCTGCCACTCGTCGAGTCAATAACACAAATGGTATAAATGAAGATCAAATACGTACCAAAAACGGGGCGTTACAAATCTCCCCCACTTATCTTAGACTTCGTCCTCGAAGTCTGCTATCTCTGCAAACAACTCTGGGTAGTGTTCTCTCATCTCCTCCTCAGGCTCCCACGTCCACTCCGAGCCCTTGCGGTGCTGCCACTGCACCTTTACTAGCTGAACCACCTTGTTCCTCAAGGTCTTTGTCATCCGATCCAAGATCGCAACGGGTCGCTCGATGTAATTCAGGCTACCATCAACCAGAATATCCTCCAATGGTACAACTGCTGACTCATACACTAAGCACTTCCGCAGCTGAGAAACATGGAAAGTGTTGTGGATCTGGCTGAGCTCTGCCGGAAGATCTAACCGATACGCAAGCCGACCCACCCGGGCCAAAACCCTAAAGGGACCAATGAATCAGGGGCCCAGCTTGCCCCTTTTCGAAATCGGATGACACCCTTCCAGGGTGACACCTTCAGGAGGACCATATCGCCCA